ACTCCGTAATATGCATCATCTGAATCCAAGGAATCATGTGTAGGTAGGTCAAGCAGGCAATCACGAAAGTGTATATAAAAGGATGTTGGATATATGGCCCACTTCGGAGAAAGCCTATATTGCCTAGATCGGAAGAATGGTAGTATATTCGTCTCAACTGCTCGCCCGCGGACGGAAGGACGGACTCCCTAACCAGAAAAGAGGAGGGTACATTTGGTTTCAGATAGTCTTTCCATTTTTGAACAGGATTGCTACCAGTTGAATTTCCATAGTGACGAAAAGAAGAGGCTGGTCCAAATTAAATCTTAGTCAACTCTTCAACACGACCTATACCTTGATTACTTGCTTCAACTCTACCAATTTTTAAGTTCATCTATAGATCCGCTCTTGATTTTTCTAAGGTTTTTTAAAAGTAGTTTCAGCTCTAACACGCTGAATCCGAGTGGAAGTCTACTCCCTAGAAAAAAGATCGTTTTCTATAGGGAAACAGTTCTGTTGTATTGCGTAGAATTGGCTCTATGAACCTTACCTGAATTGTGATCTTCGTTTGTCAAAATTCCCTGCTCTTCTCTTCATTAGGCTCCCCATTCCAATGAGTATGTAGCCGAGCGTTCTCATATTTGAATTCCCTATTCAAGTTATTATGTTTGTTTGTCGATGTTGTTCCTTCGTCGCTCAGCTACATACATACATACTATGAGACTTGACGAGATATTCCTCTCATTTGGCTTCGTTCCTATGTAAAGTTTCGCCCTTGTTCAGGAAAGCATAGATTACACCCATCTCTTCTGGCTGGCTAACTGAAGTCTTAATTCCCACCTGAAAAAGCTTTTTCATTTCTTGACTGTAGGCAATAGGATTTTTCTGGTCATTCTCGTAAATATATCTGATTCCGAAAAAAAGCAGGTCTGGGTAGTATGTTCCCAACACTACGCTCACATGATCTCAGGTAAGGTATGCAAACCAACACTTGAATCTCCAAATGTAGCTCAGGGACAGAGATAATTGGAGCACGAGGGTTGCATAGCCGAAATTCGGATTGGAATAGCATTGCCAATTCTTCCAATTCCAATTTCCCTTCCCCATGCTAAATAAAGGAAGGTTACCGGAATTTAATGCACACGACTACCGTTAAATTATGCTGTAGTCTGATATGGCGATGATATGGTGTGATAACTGGAAATCATTAATGGTAAATAATGAAATGCTTTTATAGTTTATTGGGTAAGCGATGGTAACGCGGTGTATGGTCTCCAGTAATAGGCACATACTTTTTATTGTTTCGTATTTCACGTCTTGCCATTTTTGTAACCCAAACAGGGGCCTGTCGATCTGTCAGGTATGGCTTTCAAAATAGCAAAACTTTTTCGAATCGCATATGTAGCCTGGTCAATTGATAGGCAGCTCTACTACAAATAACTGCGGCCGTGTTTGTGTTCATTTTTAAAACTACAAATCGATCAGTAAAGTAGGTAATATTCGCAGGCACTTCACTCTCATTTGCTTATTAACAACGCCCCTTTCTCGTCAAACCGCATTACTTTTCGTGCCGTTACTACTTCAACAGAGTCAAGCACGGTTATCGTCGAAATGAGATTATCTGCCAACTCGGCGCCAACATCGTGTCGTTATTCTTTATTCCGTCTATGACACTTACTATAATGGAAAAAGCGTCTTGTAAGGACAAATAAGCAATACTGCTGAAGAGTTTGCAAAGGAAAGAATCAGTTTTTATCCTAACTTTGGGATCGCGCATTTTTCGGCTTGTTATTGATTATTGTACATTTTCGAGAGTGGTAAAACTGATCATTAGTCTGACTTTCAGAAAAAAACACTTTATATGAGTAATGAAATGAGTAATCAGTGATGGATCCCATGTTTAGATGCTAATTTTCACTTGGACATTGAATGAAGCTGTGGTTCGACAATGCCAACTGCCGTCGCTACCACACTTACATATAGCATGAGGTCGAATTCTGGATCGGTTTCAGTTTGAGCAAATTATTCATTCCCTTCCTCTAATTTCGACTGATACCGAAAGTCGGCTCTAAAGACTACCTTTTACATGGGCTGGCCTGCGCAGGACATTGTACAGATGAATACGCATTCAAACACCTTCGTGATTCGGATGAAATCGAGTGAGCGAGCGCATCCCGCAAAATAATTGATTTGCGTCCACAGCTTCATCTCCTTTTCTGTTCGATATTCAAGCTTGCTCCGCTTTGAGCTACTTATTTGGTGAAAGAATAGCTGGTCATGGCTGCTTCCAGAAAACCATACAGCCTTCGCAATGCGCTCTTAAACCATACGGTAACTATGCATCCCAAGGGTAAAGCACTTTTGCTTACTGATAAGTATTTATTGGGGTTAAGTGCTTAAAGGATCTCCAAGATTACTTGCTTACTCAGCAGGACTTACCTTGCTATTGTTCGGGCAAAGAGGCAGGTAAAGTCGAAGGATAAAATCTCCGGCGTTAATTGTGCCCGTTTTCGGGATGTGCCCTAACATCCGACTTTCCATCGGAATTATAGTGAAGTTTTGAACATGTTCGAAGTCTATACAATGACTTATGGTGGCTAGTCCAGGCACAAGTTGAGGCCGAAGGAAGGATGGTTGATAGGGCGAGTATCGTTCCGGAATTCTATCCCTAAACCATGATAATAGTACCAAAAATGCACACAAGTAAACAAATCACTATGCTGTAAGAATGGATTTCTTTCAAAGAGGACTGTCGCCTGAGCAAGCCTGCAGTCATACATAACACTTACAACCTAATACTTAAGCAGTTAGAGGAATAATACTAGTTATTTAATCGTTTTTCTGCTACGCGTAGCACCCGTCCCGCTTCCAACCCACCTTCTCTATCAACCGTGCTCGTTACTTCTTTGTGCCGCTTTCACATGGAATGCGTATTATGACTGAAACTGTTCGTTTTTTTTACTTATCCATATCATATATTTTCAGTAGATTGCCAGGAATGGGTAATTGCGACTCGGCCACTGCAGAAATGAGAAAACGAAATCGAAAAATCAGTGCGATCATCGAACACGACAAAAAAGCTAGCGAGACTGTCATCAAATTGCTATTATTAGGTAAGTTATTTTTATATTTTTATTATACGTATTAGTTGCCTTAACAAGAACATTTGAATAATGAGCTCTTCCCCCTCAGGCTCTAACTTTGACATAATCGCTCGCTAAAGTAGACAGTTGCACAGTTGGAGCGGATGTAGAAGTAGCACTCAAACTGGGGGGAGGGGGGGAGGGATTCACGCGTGTCACCATTAGAGCTCACGCAGCATCGTTTCAGTACCTTTCTG